GCCTTCACCCTTGCATGAAAGATCGCGCTCACTGATACACACACACACATACACACACACACACACACACACGCACACACACACACACACACACACCGTCACCTGTGTCGTGTTGCAGATGTTGTGAACCGGTTTGCGGGCCCGCTGGCGTCGTGCCTGTTTTCAAAGTACAGCAAAACGCTGTCCATGTCAGCCATGTTGTGGTCGTTTATCCTCCCGCACATTGCGCACATGCCAGCCATGTCCTCCAAGGTACGATGCGTGATGCGTGCATTGTGTGTCTTGAGTTGGGTTGCTGGTACACGTACATGCTGACGCATCACTCGTATCCCACCACTAGTTCTCATTGCACCATTTACTCGTATTGCACCTCTGGTTCTCATTACCCGGCCTGCTCTCATCGCACCAACATGTCATCGCCGCACATTGTTGCAGGTGATCGAGAAAGTGTTTCTGCGGCTGATGAAGCTGTATGAGCAGACGACAGGCAACCAGGAGACGTTTACCGCCGTCACCAACACGCTCATCTCCCTCATCCGCAACGCCACGTCGTTCCGCCCGCCGCAGCACCACATTGAGAAGCTGCTCTCGAGCGTGCACATGGACATGGACAACCCAGACCGCCAGGCCATCATGTTTGACGTGGTGCGCGCAGCCATTGAGCGCGAGTACAAGCTGCCGGTCGTGTACGACATCATCGACAGAATACAGGAGATTGTGGTGCAGTCGCAGTCGGACACGGCGCGGAAGCGTGCGCGAGAGACGATGCTGGCGTTTTTGAAGAAGTGCGAGGTCAACTCGAAGCGCGTCCTGAACCACATCATGTTCCTCCTCACCAACCTCGCGTACAAATACGAAGCAGGTCAGTGTTGTGCAGATGTTCAGCTTCTGCCTCTGCACGTGTACACATTATTTTGTGTGTGTGCGTGTTGTTGTTGTTGTGGTTGTTGCGGCTCATTTTGTCCCCGACATATGTACATCGTTGTTCACGACATGTGTGTGTGTGTGTGCAGGTCGCAAGTCTGTGATGCAGATGCTGACGGAGATTGTGAAGAATTTGCCAGAATCGATGGTCGTCAAACACGCCGACCTCATGTTCATGACGTTCGCGCAGCACTTTGGAAACACAGGTCAGTCGCCCGCGTATGGGCGCATGTGCATGCGAACCGTTCATCATTTTGTTCTTTCACATCGCATGCACTCCAAGCATTGACTCACGCATGCACTGTTCTTCACTTTATCATTCGTCTCCAGAGGAGTCGAGTACACGAAGTGCAATGCAGCGACTGCTGCAGCTGCTGCTCTCCCGCGTCCCTGCCGCAAAGCGCCAGGAGTTCTTCGACATGGCCGTCCGCTGGCTCAAGGAGGTGTGCTTTGGTTTGTGTGTGTTTGTGTTTGTGTGTGCGTGCTTGTGTGTGTGTGTGTGTGTGTGTGTGTGTGTGTTGTGTGTGTGTGTGTGTGTGTGTGTGTGTGTGTGTGTGTGTGTGTGTGTGTGTGGTTGATGAGCGCCATGTTCCCACACCCCTCCTCTCCTCTGCTGCGTGAGTTCACACCTCTTCTGCGTCACGCATTCCTTGCCTCGTCATTACCACCTCGTGTACAGGAGAAGCTGCCTGTGCGGAGTCTCGGGCTTCGCCTGCTGGTCGTCTTCATTGATCAGCGCCCGCGCGCATTCAAGGACCAGGCGCCAGCAATTCTCGCCACGCTGGCAGACATCATCACCACCGCAGAGGACCTCAAGGTCTGGTGGCTGCATGGTGGCTGCATGGTGGCTGCGTGGTGTGGCTCTTGCATCTGGGAGCTTGCTCGCTTGCAGAAGAGTGGGGGTGGGGAGGTGGTTGTACGACTGCGCTCCTGTGCTCACTGACTGCGCTGTGTGCGTGTGCAGGTGTATCTGCGTGATGGGGAAGTTGAAGAGCAGCAGCCGGGCGGCGACCGCTGGTTCCTCCTCTTCCAGGCCCTCACATGCACACAGAAGGTGCGCTTGAACGCGAACACGCGAATTGGGCAGCTGTGCGGTTTGTTTTGAACATGTTGCGGTATGTCGATGGATTTGCTGATGGTTTGGGCGACGCAACACTCTCACACGCCACTTGTTGCTGCTTCTGTCGCTGTTGTTGTTTCCAATTGGTGGTGCAGATGGTGGATGGCGTGTCGGGTTCCATCACTCTTCTCGCCAAGAAGCATGCGGACGTGTGGCCGCGTCTTCAGAGCCATCTGCTGTACTCCCACGCGTGGGTTCGGTTGGCTGCCGGTCGCCTCATGAACACCTTCCTCCAGCGCACCTGCTCAGGTGCGTTTGTGTGTTCCGTGTATTTGTGCGTGTGTGTGTGTGTTCCGTGTGTATTTGTGTGTGTGCGTCTGTGTGTGTGCGTGCGTGTGTGCGTGTGTGCGTGTGTGTGTGCGTCTCTTTTTCTGCGTCTGTGTGTGTGCGTGTATTTGTGTGTGTGTGTGTGTGAGAGAATGTGTGTGTGTGTGTGTGCGTGCGTGCGTGCGTGCGTGCGTGCGTCTCTCTCTCTCTCTTTTTCTGCGTCTGTGTGTGTGAGTGTGAGTACTTCTTGACATGTGTCCAGCTGATTTCTCGTTTTACTCACGCAAGTTGATCCTCCAACCTCACACACGGCCATACGCACGACCACCAACAGCGGAGTTTGTGTCGGATCCTGAGCGCGTTAATGAGCTGGCACAGGTGAGCGTCCAAGGGGTTTGGAGAACGCAGTGGAACTGGGTCACTTGTTGTGTGACAGCGTTTTGATTTGCGGGCTGTGTGTCCTCGTCGCACTGTCGTCCGCCTGGTGCTCACCACACGCACACACGCACATGCACACACGCACACACGCACACACGCACACATGCAGGCGTTTACGACGCAGGTTCGGTCGCGCAACCTTGGAGAGGAGATGGTGGAAGTGCTGGTGAGCAACTTGACCAAGGTCGCGCAGCTGCAGATGGCGACGGCGGCGCGCGCAAACCAGCTCTTCACCACAAGCCATGAGCAGCAGCAACGGCAGCAAGAGGATGACAGCAGCGATGTGCCGAGGAAGAAGAAGGCGAAGAAGTCGGTCTGGCTCAGCGACACCCATGCCGAAGCCAAAGACCATGAGGCGGCTGATCTTGTGCTGCACGAGGGACCGTTCGAGCAGCTCATGCACGAGCTCACCGGCATTGCCATGCGAGGTACCTTGTATTGTGTTGTGTGTGTTTGTGTTTGTGTTGTGTTGTGTTGTGTTGTGTGTGTGTTGTGTTTGTTTGTTTGTTTGTGTGTGTGTTGTGTTGTGTTTGTTTGTTTGTTTGTTTGTGTGTGTTGTGTTTGTTTGTTTGTTTGTGTGTGTGTTGTGTTTGTTTGTTTGTTTGTGTGTGTTATGTTTGTTTGTTTGTGTATGTTTGTGTGCGTTTGTGTGTTTGTGTGCGTTTGTGTGTGTGTGTGTGTGCGTTTGTGTGTGTGTGTGTGTGTGTGTGTGTGTGTGTGTGTGTGTGTGTGTGTGTGTGTGTGTGTGTGTGTGCGCGCGTTTGTGTGTGTGTGTACGCTTTCGTGTTTCTTTCTCGTGCACTGACCCACCACTGTGGATGCCGAACCGTGCACCACTGACCCTCACCACCGACAGAGGTGCTGTATCGTGAGGGCAACATGCAGCGACGGGTTGTGTTCGCGTGGTACCGACACGTTGCTCGGTTCCTCAGCGATGCGAAGAAGGTTGCAGCCGTCCTCCCCTACATGACACGCGCCCTCTTCAGGTGTGTGGATATGTGCGTGTGTGCGTTGTGTGCGTGTGTGTGCGTATGTGTATGTGTGTGTGTGCGTGTTTGGCGTATGACACGACCTCACTTCGCGTGGGCTGCGCATGAACAACCACAGGACGATGGAGCGGTGGGACCAGCCCGAGGACATTCAAGAGCTGGCGAAATCGGTTCGTGCTCTGTGTACTGTCATGATGAGACGCACGGAAGCCGGGATAGGGGAGGGGGCGTGTTGTGCACACACACACACACACACACACACACACACACACACACACACACACACACACACACACACACCCTTCTTGCGCTCTCTCCTTCATCACCCACCCACTTGTCTCTTTGTTCAGACGCACGACTTGATCCGCGGCATTGTCGGGGCGAAGCGCATGTCCAACGCCATGAGCGAAGAGAAGCACAAGGTCCGGCCGTGTTGTTCTGCTCTTGCGCTTTGTCTTGTGCTGTATTTGAGAGAGGAAAGGGTCATGATGTGAGGCGCATATCACAGCCCTTTGTTGGGACTCACATCAATCACATGTCTGATGCATCGACTATGTTGTTGAACTTGTTTAGGTGTCGGCCAAGCGTGCTGTCAGACGCCAGCGCGAGCAACAAGAGCTCATCACAAACCCGAAAAAGGTGTGTGCATGTGTGTGTGTGTGTGTGTGTGTGTTCGCGTCTTCATCAGAGGCACAGGGGGTTTGCCCGACTGTATTGTGCACGCCCCTTTTGTTTTGCGTTGCACGATACCGCGCCAGCCAGTTGCTCACCCCACCATTCTCCTCTACTCCAGGCGCTGCGGCGCAAAGCGCGATCGCACGAGCTCAAGCGGGATGCGCGCCGGCGCAAGAACGCGGCGGAGAAGGACGCGCGCATTGGCGGCATGCCCATCAACCCCGTGGAGCTCAAGAAGCTGCACAACAAGCGGCGCGAGCACAACCGGAAGCTCAACCTCATGGACGAATAGCCCCTTGCTTTGCTTGGTGCCGTTTCGTGCTCCGTGTGTGTGTGTGTGTGTGTGTGTGTGTGTGTGCGTGTGCGTGTGTGTGTGCGTTGCAGATTGAGCTTGTACACAAACAATGAAAACAACGTGTTGCCTCGCACATGTCAAACATTGCTCTTTGTGAAGTCAGCACAATACCCACACGATTAGAGGAACAATCACATCAACACGCCCACACACACGCCCACTTTCCCATGAACTCACACACACTGCACACATGTTTGGCTTCTGGCAAAACGAGTCTTTGCCCGGTCTGTCTTTTACTTTCAATGATCATCAAGACTCAACTCGAGGGCAGGTGTGAAGAGAAAGGAGTGCAGGCGAGCAAGCAGACGAAACACACACAGACACAGAAGCGCAAGCGAGATGCTTGGGCTTCTTATGCGGTGGTCACGCACACGCCACCGGCGGCCTTAATCTTCTCCTCAGCCTTCCTGGAGAAGAAGCGTGCCTTCACAATGACGGGCTTCTCGGGCAGCTTTCCGTTACCAAGAACCTTGAAGTAGCCCTGTACACGTGGCGTGTGTTATGGGAGAGTGGAAGAGGTTGTGGGTGAGAGACAGCAACAAGGGTGCAGCAGACACACATCAAGCGACCAAAGGTGCAACATGAGCAGCAAAGTGCTTGGGGTTGCACAAACAAATGCACACACGCATTTTCACGAGGGCCAACAGCGAAACGTACAGCGCGGACGCAGTCGATGACAGGGGCCTTCTCGGCCGATGCGTTCTTCAGCATGTCGGTGCGGAGGTCCACGGGGAGGAGGGACCACAGACGGTCGACGTTGATCGTGGGCTTGAAGTACTTCTGGCGGGTCAGGTGGAAGTGGCGCATACCAACCTTGCCAAAGTAACCAGGATGGCTGTGTGGATGTGCATGTTTAAGGAGGGGGGGGGGGGAGAGTGCGAGAGTTAGGCCAGAGTGAGAGAGAGAGAGATAGAGAGAGTGTGTGTGTGTGTTTGAGAGAGAGAGAGTGTGTGTGTGTGTGTGCGTAGTTGTGTGAGAGAAGCAGCAGGCACGCGCAGCACCGTGCCCAGTGCGCCCTCATGCACAGCGCATGCCGTCCAGCGTGATAGCACCACCACCACCACCACCACCGCGCAGAATCCCAGGGCAGATGAACGTACTATTTGTCAAAGTTGATCCTGTGGTGGTGCTGGCCACCAGCGTTACCGCGACCACCGGGATGTTTGCGGTGCTTGCCGATGCGGCCATGACCGTGGCTGACGTGGCCCTAGCAAAAGCAGCAACAAGAACAAGAAGTGACGCGTGAGCTGCATGTGTTGGAAAGCCCTGCGTGTGCATGCGTGTGTTGGTGTGTGTTGGTGGAAACTCAATGTGGGTGGCCACGTGGTGTGGCATGTGCATCATTGGAGGCATGATCAAGAAAACTCACGCGCAACTTGCGGCACTTCTTGTTCCTGGACACCATGACTGGGTATTGCAAGCGAGCGTGCGCAGTAATGTGTGATAGGGCGGTGCAAGTCAGGGAATGAGTGGGTGATTCGTGGCACGCGGAAGCAGGCAGCAGTGTCGGCGATGTTGGTGATGCACATGTGTGCGAGTGTGCGAGTGCGTGCTGCGATGGGAATAGTGCCGCATCGAGCTGAAAGAAGGAAGCTCAGTTCTACACAAGCAATGTGCCATGGAAAGTGGTCTGGCTGGAGCCGCGTCTCGAGTGGAATCTCTTTCTCACTCTTCCTTCCTTCCTTGGTTCTCTCGTTCTCTGCTCTCAACCTTCCACCCGTTCACCTCGAGGCTTCGCCCTCGTCTCATATCCTCCTCACCTGCGCGTGGGGTCGGCTGCTTGGTGGTGGAAAGGGGAAAAAGGCACACGATACGCGTGAACGGTCCAATTCCCACCCAGACGGGTCCCAGTAATATTTGGCAAATCTTCCAGTGAAAACGCAATACACTGTACCAACACCACAAAATGGGGCTGCCAGTTGGCGGAGGAGGACAGCTGGCGCACAACGCACACAACGCGCACACACCAAGCGCACACACCACACCAAGCGCACATCATGGACGAGATTGACGCGCGTGGTGTGTCGGCGGGGTTCCTGCGCCGGTTCCTGGAGGAGGTCAAGGCAAGTGACCCAGAGCATTATGCAGCATTGACCACGAAGGACGTGTGCGACAAGATTGTGGTGCCGCACACGAGCGATGAGCGTGCGATCGAAGATGTGGGGCACGCGTGCGCGTACGTGGATTTGCTGGCAGCACGCACGCCGCAGGACGTGGCGGCAGCAACCGTGTTTGTCTCGCACGCGTGGCGCTACAAGCTTGTGGATGTGCTCACCACACTGCTCGAGTTTGCTGACGAAAACAACAGCGAAGAAGATTGCCCCGTCTTCTTTTGGTTTGATCTTTTTATCAACAACCAACATGAGGACGTCACTGCCAACCTTCCCCAAGAGTGGTGTGTGCGCGTGTGTGCTTTGTTTTGTGTATGTGTGTTTGTGTTTTTGCATGTGTGTGTGTGTGCGCGAGTTTGTTTACACTTGTACGTGTGCGTGTGTTTGGTTCAGACGTGTATTGTCACCGTGTTACATTGCCCGCCCGCCCAACACCCCCCCCCCGTCCCCATTCGCCTTCAGCAACGACCTCCTGCCCCCTCCTCGTGTTCTCTCTCACATACAACAACAACAACAACAACAAACAACATCTGCACCTGCGTGCAGGTGGAGCACGACATTCAAGGAGTCGATTGCACGGATCGGCAAGGTGGTGCTGGTGCTGACACCTTGGGACGACCCCGTGCCACTGACGCGGGCGTGGTGCCTGTGGGAAATCTTCTGCAGCATCAGCCACGGCGAGGACGTCACGCTCAGCATCCGCCTACCAACCACGCAGCGCGCCGCCCTGCGAGAGGCGCTGCTGGAGAGCCACGACGCCGTGACAGACACGCTCGTGCGCGTGCAGGCCGAGCGGGCAGAGGCGTGGAATCCAAAGGACAAGGAGATGATCTTCAAGGCGATTGAGGAGAGTGTCGGCTTTGGGCAGCTGAACCGTGCCGTGAAAGACCAGATGCGCAGCTGGTGCCTGCGGCAGGTGGTGCAGTTTGTGGAGGACATGGAGGCGCAGGGCCAGGACCGCACAGAGGCGTTCTCCTCGCTGGCATACCAGGCCGCAGTCGCCATGCGCCAGTTTGGCGACCACGCGCGCGCAGCCAACTTCCTCGGCAAGTGCCTGCGCATTGAGCTTGAGGTGCACGGTCCCCAGCACACCAACGTCGCCGTCACATACGGGCTTCTCGGCCTCCTGCACGAGGACCTGGGCAAGTACGACCGCGCCGTGCAGCTGCTCGAGTCGTCGCTGGCCATCCACGTCGACACGGCGGGGCCAGACCACCCGCACGCGGCGTCCGCATACAGCAACTTGGCCGGGGTGCTGAACAAGCTGGGCGAGTACGACCGCGCCGTCGACCTGTACCAGCACAGCCTCGCCATCAACCGCAGGGTGCACGGGGAGGAGCACCCGGACACGGCAGGCACGTACAGCAACCTGGGCCTGGTGTACGACAACAAAGGCGACTACGACTGCGCCATTGAGTGCTACGAGCACAGCCTGCGCATCAAGCGCGCCACGCTGGGCGCCAAGCACCCGTCGACGGCAACCACGCTGGGCAACCTCGGCCAGGTGTTCGAGGGCGCGGGCCAGTTTGACAGGGCCATTGAGCTGTACACACAGAGCCTGGACATCAAGCTGGAGACGTTGGGCGAGGACCACCCGTCGACGGCAACCGCGCTGTCCTCGCTCGGCAGCGCCTACGACAGCGCGGGGCAGCACGACCGCTCCGTGGAATGCTACACGCGCTGCCTGGAGGTGTCGCTGGAGGCGCTTGGGCCCATGCACCCGGACACGGCGCTGACGTACGGCAGCCTTGGCAGCGTGTACCACAGCAAAGGCGACTACCCGCGCGCCCTGGAGTGCGGTGAGAAGTGCCTGGCCATCTTGCGCGACACGCTCGGGGAGCAGCACCCGACGACAGCAGCGGCCATGGAGAACCTGGGCCACCTGCACCACACGCTCGGCGACGCCAGCGCGGCAGCAGACCTGTTCCAGCAGTGCCTGCGGATTCGGCTGCAGGCGCTCGGGCCAAAGCACCCGTCCACGGGCACGGCGCACAAGAACCTGGGGCTGCTGCACCACGCGCGCGAGCAGCACCCGCTGGCCATTGCCAGCTACACGGAGTGTCTCGGCGTGTACAGGGAGGCGCTTGGCGAGAACCACCCGACCACGGCATCCGTGTACCGTTCGCTGGGGGACGTACACGAGGACATGGAGGACTATGGCGCTGCGATTGAGTGCTTCGACAAGTGCCTGCGCATCTTGCTGGCCACGCTGGGCCGGAACCACACGTTTACCGCCGCTACGTACGCGTGCTTGGGCCGCGCGCACCAGAGCAACAGCGAGCACGCGGCGGCGGTGGAGTGCATGGAGCAGGGGCTGGCCATCTGCTTGGAGACGGTGGGCGAGAAGCACCCAGCAACGGCGTCTGCGTACCACACCCTGGGGCGCGTGCATGATGACCAGGGCCGCCACGACCAGGCCATCGCGTGCTTCGAGAAGGACCTGCAGATATCCATCGACACCCTTGGGGAGGACCACCCAGAGACAGCGACCACCTTGCATGCGCTTGCCTGTGTGTATGACAGCAAGGGCGACTATGCTCGCGCTGCCCACTATGCAGAACGGAGCCTGCAGATCAAACGCAGTGCATTTGGAGAGGAGCATCTCACCACGGTGTGTAGTTGAGGGAGGTAAAGAGGATGGGGAGGGGTTGGTTGGTTGTGCGCAGTGAGAAGGGTGGGGGGTTATTGTGTGTGTGTATGTGTGTGTATGTGTGTGCGTGCGTGTGTGTGTGTGTGCGTGTGTGTGTGTGTGTGTGTGTGTGCGTGTGTGTGTGCGTGTGTGTATGTGTGTCTTGGACGTCAGAAGCCACTGCTCATCCTGATCCTCTTGCCATTCACATGCACACACACACGTATACACACACACACACGCACACACACGTATACACACGCAATTTGCCCCCGTGCAGAGCGCGTCGTACTGCCGGCTCGGGAAGATCTACGACAGCCTCGGGCGGTATGAGGACGCGTTGGCGTGCCTGGAGAAGGACCTCAAGGCATCCCGCACCGTATTTGGTGATGATCACACGAACACCGCCGCCACGTTGCTTCGCATCGGTCGGGTGTGCACGCACACGGGAGACTACGACCGTGCCACGTCGTGCCTGCAGCAAAACCTGGC